TATTATTATTATTATTAAGTTATGCAAGCACAAGTTATGCAGTCCTGCTTTAAATGAATTGCTAATGATTTTTCTTCTGTTAGATCTAGTATCCATTTGTTGATCCTGCGAACAAAATAACTTCCAATGTTCTCTTTGAGGTTAGGATGAAAATGGAAATTCACTATCAGATGAAGATTTACGTGCTGAAGTGGACACATTCATGTTTGAAGGCCATGACACTACAGCTAGTGGAATTTCTTGGCTCTTTTACTGTATGGCTCACAATCCTGAACACCAGCAGAGATGCAGAGAGGAGATAAAGGAACTTCTTGGGGGAAAGGAGGTTATTCAATGGTCAGATTTTTATACTTGTTTTTCATGTATATATGCATATTGGTTTCTGGATCATCTGGAAGTTTTCTGAGATTTCAGAAGGAAGTAGGAGTTATCAGTGTTAGGCTGCTTGAGTCCCATGGAAGATGGCCAAGCTGTGTGTTAAGGAAGGAGGTACTATGAAATTAATATACATATTATAACAAGCTCTTCTTTCTCTTCCCACATCACTAACATACTCTTGTCACAAACACTGTAGTACAAGAACATCTGTTTTATTTTATCAAGCAAGGGACTGATTCTTGAAATGGAGTGTCTTTTCAGTTTGAAAGATGGCAGTGCCTCTTAAGAACGGAGGTTTTCATGCTTCATTTACTGAGGACCTTATAAATAAAGGAGAGAAAAACAGACACTACACAGAGAAGCCCTCATTAGATTATATGCTGAATGTGTACACAATTTTTGTGTATATTTGTATGTTTTTAAAGTGGTGCCCTTTTTAGAGGAAAAACATGCCTATTTATTCTGACATGAATTTGCCTGGATTTACATTCGGCAAATTAGTGTGCTTTGTTTTATAAGTGGGCATTTGAGAGACAGCATTTGGTTGTTCACAAATCTGACAACTTGGGCTCCTAGTACAGAAACATCTTTGTGCCTGGAAGGGTAATAGCAGTAAGACAACAAAATGTGCATTTGCCTTACCTTGTAATCTGATCCAGAGAGATGGAGGAAATGTCGCCATGCAGGATTTCTGCATTGTACATTATCCCAGAGGAATTTTTGATTTATAGCCATCTCATAAATTATTGCATCATGATCTACTTTCTTTGTTATGAAAGTAGTTTGTCCTATGGGGTCACACTGGTTGTGTGTTGCGAGAGCAGTAATCACATCTCACACATAACATTTATCATAGCATAGACATACTCTTTCATTTACTAGCACTGAAGACAATTTAGTCTTTCCAAATGCAATATGAAGTTTGGCTCTCCTACAGGTAGACAGAGAAGCAAACAGCATGATGCAGGGAGAATGCCTCTTCCTTATATAACAGATGCTTACAAATAATATTGAATAAATAATATGTTAATGAATACCTTTCCAGCCTTCTCCTGGCAGATTGAAACATCTTGTGCAAGAGAAGCAAAAGGTCCAACCCATCCCAAAGTTTCTTTCTTTCTGAAAGAAAGGACTGAAGAGAAACAAACTGTACAATGATTCATCCTCTTAACCAAACTCCTGGTTGTGATTGACAGCTCTGGTTTCCCATTCCTAGCATTTTGGGGGATCAGAGGTGCACCAATTTCAGATCCCTCTTAGAGGAGGCTTCTCTAAATATAATTTTCTTGCATGTCTAGTAGACTTCCTCCACCTGTACATGCTCTCCTTCCTTCCTTCTGTGAAATAGTTAAGTGTCTAGCAGGTGTGCTCATTGGAGCCATACAACGTGTGATCTATGGCTCTGAGGATTTCCTATGTGAGCTCCAGCAAAGAACCACTTGGAGTTTTTAATCAAGACAGTGTTGGGTGAGAGGGGGATTATTTTTATAAGCATATATATAATTTTATAACTCTATCTAATAATTTTCCTGCTCTCTTTCAGGGATGACCTAGGAAAGATGACATATACCACCATGTGCATTAAAGAGAGCCTTCGGATTTACCCACCGGTACCCCAAATAGCACGAGAACTGAATTCACCTGTGACATTTGCTGATGGACGAACCTTGCCAAAAGGTCTGGCTCCCTACCCTAACCCTTATTTAATGCTTCCGGTGGCGCTGCGGGCTAAGCCGCAGAAGCCTGTGCTGCAGGGTCAGAAGACCAAGCAGTCGTAAGATCGAATCCACATGATGGAGTGAGCGGCTGTTGCTTGTCCCAGCTCCCTCTAACCCAGCGGTTCAAAAGCATGCAAATGCAAGTAGATAAATAGGGACCACCTCGGTGGGAAGGTAACGGCGTTCCGTGTCTAAGTCGCACTGGCCATGTGACCACGGAAGATTGTCTTCGGACAAACGCTGGCTCTATGGCTTGAAGAGCGGGATGAGCACCGCCCCCTAGAGTTGAACACGACTGGACAAAAATTGTCAAGGGGAACCTTTACCTTTTAGGTTTGGTTAACTATTCTTACTCTTATAAATCAGTGGTCCCCAACTTTGGGCCTCCAGATGTTCTTGGACTACAACTCCCAGAAGCCTTCACCACCACCTCTGCTGGCCAGGATTTTTGGGAGTTGAAGTCCAAGAACATCTGGAGGCTCAAAGTTGGGGACCACTGTTATACATAGTATGGTATGATCATGATAACAATGGTGGCAATGGTGCTTATCTGCTGTACTTTAATATGTAAACATTGCATATATAAAAAGCTATGTTGCAGGATCCAGAGTTCACTTAAGGCCTTTGGGGGATCCGAAAGCCACAGATACCAGTGTTTTAAAACTTGCAGCATAAGGGCTGAACACAACTGAGCATCAATGCTAAGTGTGTGGGTAGAAGAAAGAGATAATAAGTGCTAGAAGCATGTCAGCAGGGTGTGTGCTCAACTGGCAAACTATTTGAAGAAGGGAAAATATTCAGAGAAAAACTTTGCAAAGATAATTAGCAGTATAGATGTATTCAGGATAATGACTTTCCCTTCTAGATGTATGATGTAGACTTGTGTGAATAGTACTCCATTTTATGCAATGAAAGTAAGCTGGGATACAGTACAGGAACAGGATACAATACTGTACCTTCTCGTTTCCCCCAGTTTCTACCAATAACATTGGAATAATAATAAAAAGGAGAGATGGATTATCAATATGTAGAAAAATAGGTTTTACTTGTTTTAAAAGTCCAACATATTTAGAAAATTGTTTTGTGGTCTTCTTTGAGGGCTGTTAAAAAAAGAAAAAAGGGGATAACACAACATTTACCATCATAGTACATTCATAAGACAAGACAAAAGGGAGGGGACAGGATTGCATCCTAAAAGGGAGGAGACAGGGTTGCAACTTGAAAGAGAGGGGACAGGATTGCATCTGGAGATTGATGAGCAAATAGTCAATGAATAATTCATTACTTTGAATGAGGTCAGATCTCCAGGGCCAGATGAATGCCACCCAAGAATGTTGAAGGAACTGGCTGAAGAGATCTCAGAACCACTGTATATTATTTTCTTGAAATCATGGAGGATGGGTCATGTAGTCTCCATCTACCTTCAGAAGTCTCCACAAGACACATACAGAAACAAGTCTAATTGCAAATTTGCCATGTATGCAGTCAGCTACAGAGAATTACAGTGTTCTGTAAATAGCAATACATAATAATAATAGTAAGGATTACTATTACCAGCTGACTAAACAATAAAATTGAAACGGAATACTTCTCTCTTTGCTTCACAGGAGTTCTGGTTATGCTGAGTATTTATAGTCTTCACAGAAATCCTGAAATTTGGGACAACCCTGAGGTAATAATAAAGGGATAAAAGGGTAAGAAAGCAAGACTTTTCTCCTGAGATTGAGAGAACAAGATGCTTTTAGTGTTAAAATGGAGAAGAATAAGGGAGAATACAGAAACAAACAGTAAAACTCCTTTGTGGAATATGGATAGTAACTTAACTAAGACTTAGTGATTAAAATTACTGTACATGCCTTTTGTATTTTATGAGGTTATTTATGTTAATAATGCTGTTGGTAACACAATATCCAGATCAATGTTGACAGTCCTTCAACCTTTGGTGGCTCTCTAAACTGAGTAGTTCTTGTATTGGGGATTGAAAAATACACTGAGGTACTAACCAATTTTTTTAAAAAAAGAAAACTTTGTGTTGCTGAGGCCTTTGTGATGGTCAGTTTGACTGAACAGACTCCTAAAGGCTCGCCTCAGGCAACCTACTCAGGAAGGAAGTGACCAGCCAGAAGAGAATGAGAGGTGTGGTAGGCTGGCAATGGTGGAGGGACCCCTGTGAAAGAGGTTAGATGGGATTTTAGGCGGGTTGGGCTAATCCTGGATTTCTTGACAGTGAAGAAAAAATTAGGAGGAGGGCTAGGGATGCTTTTAAAGGGGAATGAAAATTAGCTGATTTACAAAATAGCACTGAACAGTAAAATTAAATATTCATATTAAATTTCTGTTTATTTTGCTAGTGGTAGAAGTACTTGTTTGAAGATGTCCCCCCACATCAGATTCTGCTGATATTGCAGTCTGCTGTGATGTAAAAGCACACCCTATCAGAGAGAGCATTAGCTGTACAGCAGAAACATATAGGCACAGCTATGCCACATAATCACTATGAGGTTGAGGGCAAGATTAATCATTGGTGATTTTAAAGAATGGGTTGATATTCTAAAGGTTATGCAAATGGCAGGAATCAATTAAGTAAACTTTGTGTTATATGGAGACCCCTGTATGGTATTAGTGGATGGAGTGATGGACTAGAACTCAGAAACTTACTTGGCAGGAAGGTGAATGTGGTAGAAGCAGTCCTTAAATATCTCACATTATCTTGAAAACACTGTTACTGTTTCCATATCCCAGGTGTGACTTAACAGCACATAACACCATGTTATATAGTTTACACTTTATTAAGTGGTCTTAAGTCAGCCACATGCATTTTGAAAACAAAGCAAACAGAATATCCTCCAGAGCAGGAGCCAATGTCAATTTGTTCAAAAACAAACAAATCACATTGTAGACCCCAACTACTATTACCTCCACAGTGGTGTCTGCAATTAACAATGAAGTTTCCTATGTCAACCAAATAGGAAATGTGTGGAGTATGTTCATCAGGACCATGGGAAAGGAGGAACATTAAACTTTCCCTCCTCAAACCCTCCCCATGCTGTTACTGCTTCTCAGGCACTTCATGACTGCTATTCACATTTTAAAAACACAGACACACACACATGAATGTAATTGCATTAGCACAATTAATGTCAAGGTTCATTTGGCCTAAACATTTAGAAACATGAAGAAATTTTCCTTTGGATTAGGGGATCTGTTTTCCATGCCAGCATGTGTCATGGCTTAATTACCTAAGTTGTTTGGGCAACATTTTGTTAATGCTGTAATTCCATACATGTTATTCATACAGAAGCCTCGTTGAGTTCAGTGGGACTTACAAGTGCATTCACAAGGAACTGCAGCCAAAAGTGTATTATTTTTCAGAATCCATCTTTTGGTCAGCTTCTCTTTTTGCCATGATCAGTTACCGCACTAACTGAAATACTCATTTTGTGCTACAGGTCTATGATCCTCTACGATTTTCTCCAGAAAATTCAAAACATCGCCACCCATATGCTTTTCTTCCCTTTGCTGCTGGGCCAAGGTAAAGATTGATAATTCTATAAGTTGTTATTTAAAAATTCACACATTTCTGCTACTTTTAAAAAAATGATCTGATGTTATTTTTCAAGAAAGCAGTGACTAAGGTCATGACTACATTTTGAGGGAAGTGTGAATTCACTTGCATTCAATCACTGTGAAGTCCCATAAGGGAGTCCAGTTTTCCATGTGATCAGTTTAAATTAATTGGCCACATAGGAAAGCCTTGTTTGCAGCTTATTAACATAGCTCTCTTGTAACCAGCAGTTGGTGCTGCTTCCAAAGAGCTACTTAATAAGCTGTACTAAGTAGTAAACAAGGAAAGATTGCTGATTTTTCCCTCCTTCCTTTTGTTGTCTAAGTGCTCTAGTGTATCAGTGCTGGCACCAAGCTATTAAATAATTGTATTGTTTGGAAAGCTGGGCTGTATCTTTGCCACCCCCACTCCCATTAGCTTGCTTTCCCCAATGTCGAACATGCCCCCCTCAAAGTGGAGGCAGTGGGAGGCTTCTTCATCTCCTCCTTTCCCTCTCTTCTGCTGTTAAAAAGAAGGAGGGAGAAAGAGAAAGTGCTGGCACAGTGGATTTTCTGTATTGGTTCAAATCATCACACCTCTTAACCAATGCAATTGAATCTTTTTTATTCCTGATTAGGGCAGACTCCTTGAATTAATGAGAGCTATTACATCAGAAATTATGACCATAATTTGACCCCATTGAGGGTCAAATCTGTTAGGGGCTATCAGTCGGAGTTGGACTAAAGATAGTAATAGAGAAACATTCCTGGGGGGGGGTGGATATAAAGGTGAAATACAACAACTCTTGTGTGACCATACTGTATTTGGATTTTCTTTTGTTAAAAAGACAATATTTTCACTTTTTATTTCTACTTAGGAACTGCATTGGACAACAGTTTGCGATGAATGAGATGAAAATCGCTCTTGCTTTAACACTTCAGCGGTTTGAACTTTTGCCTGACCATTCCAAAATGCCTACTCCCATTCAGCAGATCGTCACTCGATCTACAAATGGAATACACCTGAAACTGAAGCCTATTCACTAGGGCTATTCACAGATCCCCTATTTGATTTGGAGATCCACTCATAGCTTGGGAATGTGTCCCAATGTAGACCTGACTGATTCATGTCCCATCCATATCTAATTGTATCTTAGATCTAAACTGATTTGTAAATTCAGCTTTGCTAGCCTTTCCACTGACTTGCATCAGAAACTGCTGTAATACCTCAGAACCTGAATAGAGGAGTAAACCTGCCAAATTTCAGATGGCTGGCATCAGTTGTTCACTTACTAGGCACCCATAATGTTTCTTTTCTCAAAAATCAATGTCTGAACTGGTGTGAAGCTTTCCTGATTAGTCTGAAGTATAGCGGAATTTCAGCCACTTTTTTCTTTCATGTGCATTATATCATTGACGCAAGAACTCATTTTTCTTTGTTCAGCTGGATAAAATCATAGCTGTAATGAACTAAAGGAGAGACTAGGGAGGGAGAAAATTAGACGTCACAAAGAAAGCCCATCCTTGTTAATTTTGCACAGACATTGCAGTAGGCTGTAAAGTTTTCTGGAAATTTTTCTAGTGTTAAATTTTTCTGCAGAATATTTCCATTTTAAAAACATATTGAAATACGTTAGTAGTAATGCATAAACATGGTTGGCAGTTTCAAAGTTGTCTTGGCTAGCAGACACATCCTCCCCCCCTTTTTCCCCCCTCATGAAGAATTATGATGCACAATCATCCAAACTAAAAATTAAGCAAAAAAAATTTTTTTAGCTCATTGCTGCTAAGTGTTGGGATGCTCTAATCATACTGCATGTGCCATAAACACTTCAAACCAAAACATCACACCAAAGATTGCTGTGTGTCTATCACAAAAATTTCATCAGATTAAATATTAGCCAAGGTTTTATTAGCTAATATAGGTCATTACCAAAGGCAATAATTATGCTATCGATTGTTATCTTCCCTCCTACCTTTTCAGAACAAGGCTCAAAAGTAACATTTGCCATTCTCTACATTACCACATGCTGTTCCTCTGTTGTTTCCTTTAATCATTGTTCACAGAACCAGGTTTCAAAAGAACTGAATACCAAGCAGGCATCTTATTTCATTACTAGATGTGAAATACAGCCAAACACAACGGTCTCTTTACTATGTGTTTTACTATGTAATATCTGTGTTTCTGACGTTTATATCTGATGAAGTGGACATTTTCCATGAAAGTTGACATTAAAATACAGCAGCTAGTCTTGAAGGTGTGACAGCCTCTCCCTTTTCTTCTTCTTCTTCTTCTTTTGCTTTTGTTTTCTGTTTTCTGTTTCTTGTTGAAACCAGACAAACACGACCAGAGCTTTGAAAACTATCAAAAAAAAGTTACAGCTTTACTTTGGCATGATTAATAAAAAGGAAGTGAGCATTAAATAATTCTGTTTGTTCACGTTTTCCTTTTGCTAAACTAATCAGACAAGCTTCTGCGTCAAAGCTAGGTCCTCTTTTCTGATTCTCCAAGCATATTTTTCCAGTTCTACCTGGAAATACAACAGGCATCAAGCTTGCTCCCACCCAGACACTCTATCTATTGTTAACCTGGTCCCACTTTTAGGGCCAAGGGTGCACTGGAGATAAAGCCCGTGGACATACAAACTGGCCTGGCAGCAGCAAAAATAATCCAAAGAAACTGAGGGGAATCCTACAGGGGAAAAAAGAAACCAACCAAGAAAAAAAAGGCTAACATGGAAAGGATGCAAGAGAAAACCACTTCCTTAGGAGTGGAGCCCAGCTGTGGCTTTGGTGGAGCTGAGGACCAAGAGCTCAGTAGATATGGCCACACTTTGAAGGACCGCTTTCCTTTCCCAGCACCACTGCCACCAGTGCCCCCACTGCTACCTCGTTCTCTTGTGTGGTCTTTGGCCCCTTCCAAAGCCTGCTCGCTGCAAACAGTCCTGAGAAATTCCTGAGAGGGAGCACTGCGGAGTGAAGAAAGGAAAACTGCAAAGGCAGCACCATTACACAGCAGCAGCTCTGTGGCTGCAGTGGCAGGCAGTGGCAGAACATGCAAGGATGCCTTTCTCTTTGCAGCCGGTTTTACCGCAGGTGCCAATCGGGCTTGTTCTGGTTACAACTCATTACACTCAGCAGGCATAACCCATTGACAGACAGACAGACAGACAGACAGACAGACAGACAAACACACATGGAGGTGGGGGAGAGAAAGAGTCAGGGATCAAGGAACTGGGCAGGGGGCTTCCTCCTTTACAAGCCTAGAAGCTCCTGATCTAATAGATTTGTCTGGTCTTTTCTCCTTGTGAAGAAGTAAGCACTCCCCGCTGCATTCTTTTTTCTCTCTGTTCCTCATAAATTTCCACTGACTATTGTGTCTTCTCCCTCACCAGGAGGCTCCTGGATCCCTCATTCCCTCTCCTTCTCCACCCCCACCCCATGTGTATATCAGTGTCTGTCTGTCTGCCTTCAATGAAAGCTTATATTCTGATCTGTTTTATCTTTTTTCATATGTCATACTTGTGCTATGCCTCTTATAAAAGAAATAACATTTATTTTAAAATATTAAAATAATAGGTGAGAATAAGAGAAAATGTTTTCAAATTGGGTTTAAGATGGTATTTGACACCGAGAAAATTGAATAAAATTAACGCTAGTTATCCGAATGTCTGTTGGAAATGTGAGAAGGAAATTGGTACATACTTTCATATGTGATGGGAATGCGAAAAAGTACAAAGGCTTTGGGAAACTAATCTTTAAAGAACTAAATGACAGATGGGAGAAAGATATAGAATTTAATCCTGAGATAGCTCTGTTATCAATATCTGAGAATGTGGAATATGGTAAGATAACTAGAGAATTGATTGCCAATTTATTAACAGCAGCTAGATTAATAAGGAATTGGAAATCAAAGTTTGAATTTTGAAAGGAAGAATGGTATAATGAAGTATGGAACATTGCTATAAATGATGATTTAACTTGTAACTTAAAGGTTTAGAAAGGAGAGATGAAAAAGAATAATTTCTATGATATATGAGGCAGATTTCTTGAATATGCACTAACAAGAGGAAAAAGGAAAGCTCCAAATCAAGAATCAATGCAGTTCTGGAGAAGAGGACAATAAAGGAAGAAGAAGAATAAAGATAGAGGAAGAAGAGGGTTACTGTAAGAGGTTCCGACTATGGTGGCAGGGAACACAGACGATTTGTATTTTGGTTTATGCATTTTATGTTTATGGTTATGTTGTAGTTTAAGAAAAAAATATTTAAAAAAGGAAAAAATATTAAAAATATCTCCACAGCAGCAGTGTCAAGTGGCTTTGAGGCAGCCAGCATGCGGGTGGGTGGGTGCAGGACAAAGTCTCAATCGTAACAAATTTAAAAGCCCATGTAGCCCTCTCAACTGATAACTAACACAGCTTAAAAATGGATTAAAAGTTTTCACAAGTGGAGGCACACACCAACCCAAATACCCATGTGATTACTTTGTTACTTCAATCTGATTTCAATTCCTCCCATCCATCTTCTGATTAATTTTCATAATGTAACCATGCCCCAGGATTGCATTAAGTGCTTTCCACTCAATGTCTGGAAAAAAAAAATCATAAAATATTTTCTCTACCTTTCTTCCACACCAACCTTGATGGTTCTAGTAATATACCAAATGTGAAGTCTAAGGAAACAGCCATGGCAATGTATGGTTGTTGTGGGTTTTCCGGGCTCTTTGGCCATGTTCTGAAGGTTGTTCTTCCTAACGTTTCACCAATCTCTGTGGCCGGCATCTTCTCTGAATGTTAGGAAGAGCAACCTTCAGAACATGGCCAAAGAGCCCGGAAAACCCACAACAACCATTAGATCCCAGCCGTGAAAGCCTTTGCGAATACATGGCAATGTATCCTTGATAATACAGATGAAAAGTCAAAACTCTCAGCCCAAATCTCATGTTGTAAGCAATGGACCCTGCCCCTAGGTGTAGTCCTTTAAAAAGTCCACCTTTTTACAAGACAATCTGAAGCCGCCTACGCCACTGCAAGGGAGTTGAAAGAGAAATAGGCTAAGCCTAGTGATCCCTATGTATTTTACAATGTCATTTAGCTTTAGCAACTTTGTAGACAAATAGTTTGGAACTTAGCAAACTCCACTAAATTAACTGAACTTTCATTCCATATCATTTCTGTAGAGTCTCAGAAAATGTGCTACAGTTTATGACAACCACAGGTTTGAGGAACTTCACATTTTTAAGAGGATAACTATGGGGGCATTTAGTCTGCCATTTTGACCCCTGTAGGGTTGGGCTGGTGTGCTTTTAAAGAGGGTGATCAGATGATGTCTTAGCAAGAGCGAACCAGCCCACTTTTCCACAATTTTCTGGCCCATCTCAAGGTCTCCTGTGTTTTTCTGGTACAATTAAGGTTGCTTTCCAAGTATGTGTGATCACCTGTTCTGTTCCAAAGCATGGTGTGTGTGTGTGTGTGTGTGTGTGTGTGTGTGTGTGTGTGTATGTTTATTATTTTTCAGACATACATAGCCACAGAACAAACAAAAACCTTCAAGACAATCAAGAACACATAAGACAAACAAACCATATAAACAGGGAGGTATTTCCCATACCAACTTATCTATTATATAATTTCTGACTACAGGAGATCTTATACCTTATTTATGCCTTATTCCCATACTGCATCATAGTATATCCGTGTGTATCTACACATGTTATATTAGATATCTCTATTTAGTATATCTAATTAAGTGTCTATCTTCCTAAGTTTATAGTAAATTTTATAAATTATCTCACCTGCATTTCCATCTCTCTAAATCTCATCATAAACATTTCTCATTTCCTCTTTAAGATTACTTATCCACCAATAGAATCCACACAGGCCAGTTGATCCATCAAAAATCTCCATTCTTATAGAAGAAAGATATACAGTGGTGCCTCGCACAGCGAGTTTAATCCGTCCCGGATTAACCCTCGCTGTGTGAAACATCACTGAGCAGGGCAGAAAAGCCCATTGGAACGCATTAAACATCGTTTAGTGCATTCCAAATTGGCTGAAAACTCACCGATCAGCGATGCTTCCGGGGTCCGGCAGCCATTTTCGCGCCCTCCCCTCGCTGAACGAGGGCATGAAAATGGCTGCGATCAGCTGTTCCGCGGCTTCAAAATGGCCGCCGGAACAGCCGAAAGGGCCGGGTGCAGTGTTTTCGCGCCCTTGGTAAGCAAGGGGAGGGCGCGAAAACGCTGCCAGAACAGACCAAATGGCTGATCGCAGACATTTTCATGCCCTCGTTCAGCGAGGGGAGGGCGCGAAAATGGCTGCCGGACCCCGGAAGCATCGCTGATCGGTGAGTTTTCAGCCAATTTGGAATGCACTAAACGATGTTTAATGCGTTCCAATGGGCTTTTCTGCCCTGCTCAGTGATGTTTCACACAGCGAGGGTTAATCCGGGACGGATTAAACTCGCTGTGCGAGGCACCACTGTATATCTAATCTTGTCAACATAGTTGCTATTATAATGCACACCTATTTGATATCTCAATATACGTGCCTCACAAACAAAAGCATCCAATATTATTATTCATCATCATTTCTAAAATTCATGAATTACATGTGCTTGTCTAGCATTAAATTTCATATCTGGCCAAATATGCTTATAGTATATTAATCATGTTACTTTATATGTTAATATATATCTCTCAAACCAATGATTTCTATTGTTTATTCAGCAAGTAACTTTCTCCCTTTTCATTTTTGCTTATCAGCTCCGGTGTTATCAAACCAGGATTGGCCTCTTGCCTCATTTTTTCATTATATTTTTTGCTAGTTTTGAAATGCCATCTGTAATGTTTCTTTAAGACATTTTCTATCCGATTGACTAAATTCATCCCAATATAGTGTTTTGGTTTTGGAGCAACATAGATCTGTCCGATCTCTGATCGTAAATTTCTGCCCTCAAATTTGCCCATTTCTCCCCCTTTACATTCTTTCCTGTTGGAACAGTCTCAGTATACTTTTCCCCTTCTTTCCAACCTCCCCTTTCATCCTTTTTAGGCATCTTGTCCAACTTTTGGAGAAAAACAGTCTTCCTCTCTCTCTCTGGCGACGACAGTTGTTGAGTAAGTTCAATGGTTTGTTTATACTGCTTTAAAACAGCCTCTCTCTCTGACAATAGTAGTTGTTCATTAAATTCTGTGGTATTTTTAAGCTGTTTGTCTTCACTATCTTTCCATGCAGTCCAAGAAGTGTCATCTTCAAATCTGTCCTCATTCTAAGAGCTAAGCCTTGATATGATTAATTATGTCCAATTGACACTCTTGAAGAAGTCTCTTAAATAAATCTCCATTGTGGGTTGCAATAATGAGTCTCCCCTCCCATCCATGTCAGTAGCAGCCAGCAGGTTAATTACTCAGATTTCCCTCATGATTTATTAGCTAGTCTACACTTCAAGTCTTACGAAAGGGGACTCTAATCGCAACTCCAACCGTGCCAAAGATGTTATTTGATTTATAATCCACCTTGTAGCTAGATGCAGAGTGATATAGATTAAATTGTGCAGAGGTATTTAAAGTTCTTAAGTCCTAAATTTATGAAAAGCCAGTTCTCTGGGAGAAAGGGTTAAGAGAGAAAAAGAACAGAGTTAGTTTCGATTTCTGAGTTGTGACGCAGTAAGAAAAACTCCAATGTAACAGGCATTAGCAAAGTTATGCCGGTTGAGATCTTCTATTTATTTATTTATTTATTTATTTATTTATTTATTTATTTATTTATTTATTTATTTATTCCCAGTATTTTTTAGCCGCACCATTACCAGTGGCTTCTGGGCAGTGTACAACAGTATTAAAACTTAAAAACATTAAAAATATTAAAAAGACAATATAAAATATCCTATATTAAAACAATTCTTAAAACATTAATATTAATAAGTCCTGCTGCTCATGTGGTCAGCTAGAGAACACTGTTTAATTAAAATGCTGGCTAAACAGAAAGGTCTTTGCCTGGCACCGAAAAGCCAAAAGTGTTGGAGCCAGGCGGATCGCTATAGGGAGGGCATTCCAAAGTTGGGGGGCAACAGTCGAGAAGGCCCTATTTCAACATGCCATCCCCCTCACCTCTTTCAGGGATGGCACCTTCAGAAGGGCCTCCTGGCCTGATCTTAGAAGATGGGCAGGCTCATATGGAAGAAGGCGGTCCTTTAGATAACCAGGTCCTAAGCCGTTTAGGGCTTTATATGTCAAAGTAAGCACTTTGAATGGGGCCCAAGCAGCAACCGGCAGCCAGTGTAAATTTTTCAGAACCGGCATGATATGAGTCTGTGCGGTGGCACCACTTACCAGCCGCGCAGCCTGGTTCTGTGCCAGTTGCAGTCGCCGGACCATCTTCAAAGGCTGCCCCACGTATAGCGCATTGCAGTAGTGTTACCAGTGCATGAATGCCTGTTGCCAGGCTCCACTCATCCAGATAAGGGCAAAGTCGATATATTCTCCGCAACTGTAAGAAGGCACCCCTGGACACCGAGTCCACCTGGGCTTCCAAGGTCAGACCGGGGTCAAGGAGCACCCCGAAGCTGTAGGGGAGTGTAATCCCATCTAAGGCAGGGAAATGGCCCTTTAACCTATCTGGCTGGGCACCCACCAGCAGCACTTCTGACTTGTCTGGATTGAGCCTCAGTTTGGATTGGTAGAAAATGAGGGGTAGAGTTGGGTGTCATTAGCATATTGCTGACTCCTCAGCCCAGACATCCTAACGACCTCCCCCAGCAGTTTCATGTAGATGTTGAATAGCATGGGGGACAGTATAGAGCCCTGAGGAACCCCATGACACAACTGCCATGGATCAGAGCTATTGTCCCCCAGCACCACCTTCTGGACTCGATCAGTCAGGTAGGAGCAGAACCACTGTAAAACAGTGCCTCCCATTCCCATCCCAGCCAATCTGTCCAGAAGGACACCATGGTTGATTATGTTGGAAGCCGCTGAGGGGTCCAGGAGAACCAACAGGGATGCATTGCCCCTGTCTTTCTCCCAGCAAAGGTCATCAAACAGTGCAACCAAGGCAGTTTCCGTCCCATAACCTGGCCTGAAAACCAATTGAAAGGGATCTAGATAATCCGTTTCATCCAGGAGAGTCTGGAGATGCTCAGCCACCACACATTCCAACACCTTGCCCAGAAAAGGGAGTTTTGCTATTGGTCGATAGTTGATCACTAGACCTGGGTCCACATTATGTTTTTTTAGGAGTGGGCGAATCACTGCCTCCTTTAATGGGGCAGGAACCACTCCCTCTCTTAACAAGGAGTTATCTTCCTCCTTATCAGCTTCCAAAAGAGCAGATCTGATATTTTACTTGCTGTAGCTTAACAGCAGATCATTAATCTCTGTTCCTGCAGTCAGTTAATAAATCTTCTACCTTCCCCTCTCTGGGCAGCTAACTCACCATCATGGCAACTTCATGAGACGGTTGCGTGTGGGAAGGGAAACTCTTCCAAAAGACAGACTGCCATCTGAAATTGGGCATTTCCAAAGCCCTCACTTGTAGCAAGTCCACTCTCCTGTGGTAACTTGCCCCCCTCCTCCTGGGGGGTCCTCTGACTTGGAGTAAACCCAGGGGAATCCAGAGCCCTGGAATTTCCCCTGTTCTCACTGCTCGTCGCTCCACCCCTCTCCCCTCAGGTGGCATCTTCAAGTTGGTTTGACAATGACAGTGTTGTGCAGGAACACCTCCTCCTCTTTTGATGCCCCCCTGTGTAGAAGTCAGAGGGGGAGGGCTTTGAGGAACGAGGAGTTCCAAAAACTGAGGCAAAGCCTTGTTGGCTGGTGGGCTGACATGTTGCCTGCTGTTCTTGCAAATGAGGTGTGTGTATTGTAAACAAGAGTGGAAGGAGAGACGGAACTGCTGGAAGTTCCTTTGAGGCAGCTGCTCTGAGGTCTGGTGTGTTTTTTGGGAGAGGGAGGGGAGATCCATTTTTCTTTTCCAGTGGGTGTTGGTGCCTCAGAGAAAACACCTCCTCTTCTCCTGTTATCCCTGTTATTCTCCTGTTATCTGATCTCTTTATTTTTCTTAGTTATTATATGTCCTGTATTATATCATTCCCACCAACATTAAAGAGTGTGTGTGTGTGTGTGTGTGTGTGTGTGTGTGTGTGTGTGTGTGTGTGTGTGAGAGAGAGAGAGAGAGAGAGAGAGAGAGAGAGAGAGAGAGAGAGAGAGAGACAGTCTTTGAGATTTCTTTCTTTTTTTAAAGACCTGCTTGCAGTAAATGACACCTATTTGTAAGAATTCACCCTTTCTTTTCCAGTCTTATGTGTGAATGGAAGAATTGCTTTAAATGCCTCAGCATACTTGCAAGCAACCCTTTAAAGCCCTATGGGCCCACTGCAATTCAAGATAATTGTGCACTCTAGCTGTCCTAAGATTATTTCCACTTCAGATTGATAAGTAATGTGAAGAATGGATATTTGGCAGAGAAACTGTCTGTGTGTCCCAGGGTCGCCAATCAAAAAAAGAAGAGATGGACTTTATAGAGACAGGGCAGTTCTAGCCTGTCTCAGCATGTTGGCAAAAGAGGGTGTTCAGGAGGAGAAAAAAACAAATAAAAGAAAAATCAACAAAGTATTGGAGCATTTTAAAGACAATGACAATATTTCTGCTCCTTCAGCATTAACTATTGTCATATCTGCCAACACCTTAGTAAGAGAGAGAGACTCAAAATGGCACACAGGATAAATTTTAAACTGACTAATGTTAGTGTCGAGTAGGGATGTGGTGGCACTGCGGGCTAAACTGCAGAAGCCTGTGCTGCAGGGTCGGAAGACCGAGCAGTCATAAGATCGAATCCACACAATGGAGTGAGCGCCCGTCGCTTGTCCCAGCTCCCGCCAACCTAGCGGTTCGAAAGCATGCAAATGCAAGTAGATCAATAGGGACCACTTCAGTGGGAAGGTAACAGCATTCCGTGTCTAAGTCACACTGGCCATGTGACGATGGGAGATTGTCTTCGGACAAACGCTGGCTCTATGGCTTGGAAACGGGGATGAGCACCGCCCCCTAGAGTCGAACACAACTGGACAAAAATGGTCAAAGGGAACCTTTACCTTTACCTAATGTCAATGTCAGGGCCATGTTTTCAGTTGGATAAATAAGGGGGGGGAGGACTGCAGGCTCAGAGCATTTTTTCACTGTGCACAATTGAAAATAGGCCCAAATACCAGAGTTAAAAACTGTGCTAGAATTCTGTGCCCCATATAATTCATTTAAATAGCATTGCAATGGCAGACGCCAGCATCTAGCTCTTTAAAAGGAGGAACAAGTAAGGACCAAGAGTCCCATGAGTAAGAGAATGGCTGTACTAGGGAAAAATGTATTTGAAGCAGGTTTGGCATGTTTTAAATTGAATTTTTTAAAGGTGACTACACAATGCAAATGGAAGTGTGGAATTTTTTTTTGCTCAGGAATTGTTTTTATTTTTTAAATTGGAAGCAATGTTTTTAGTGGCCCAACAGAGAGTCATTTGTTTAACTCAAATGTCAAATTGATTTAGTTTGAATCATCTTGCCATGTATGAACTCCTTTATTGGTGTAAATTGTATCTGTTGTCTTGCTCTGGTAGCCTTTCGCAGCCACTCCCTGCTACTGCTGGGTGTTTATTTTAAATATATTTTTATGACATTCCAAGCGGAATAGCACTAGCATGATGTGACAGATAGAAAAAAAATTATATAAAACAGATTGGAAAGTAAGCTTTCACTGCAGCCCAGCAAACAGACAAGACAGACATGAACAGAAGGAGGGAGAGAGGAGGTGTGTGGAGAAGGAGAGGGAGTGAGGGACCAGGGACCAGGAAAAAGAAACCGATTACAGTAATTTACAAGATCTGGAACTTCTAGACTTGCAAAGGAGCGAGTGCTCTCCTCCACACAACCTTTTCCTGCTGGTTTCCACTCACTGGTGTGTCCTTTCACTGGCTTAGATCCCTGACTCCCTCTCCTTCTCCTTGTACCCCGCCCCTCTTTCTCTCTGTGTTTGTCTGTCCTTTCATCCATCCACCTCTGCATGTGTGTCAGGCTCCAGTGAAAGCAGATGTGTTTTTCCCCCATCTGTCATATTATGCTCATGTATCCCACTTAGGAAGAAAATTTTAAAACATTAAAAATAACCCACAGCAGCTACAGTGAGTTGCTATAAGGCAGCCAGCATGAGGGAGGGTGGGCACAGGTCAAAGACTGGATTGCAATTATTTTAAAAGCCTGTGTAGCCACCTCAACTAATATACAACATAGCTTGAAAACTGATTAAAGGTTTTCCCAAGAGGTTGCACCCAAATACCATGTGCCTTTAACACACTTTCAAAACCCTCAATCCACCTATCAATTTATTTTCATAATGTAACCACACCTTCAGATGAGTAGGTGGAATATGGATAAACAGCCTAATTTCTCAAGGACCTTGTTCTTATAAACTGAGGAAGCATTAACCAAACAGGATTTTTCTTCCAGTGCTTAGTCTGAAATCAGAAACAAGCACGCTAGAAAATGATTGAGATGGGGAATCAAATAAATACCTCATGGTGGTCCTGTCTACCTGGAAGCATCTCTCAGCTTTTTCGTCTGACTGTTGGCTTGATCCTTACCTGTGTGGTTCTGATGATTATCCACCTATTTCAGAGAAGGCAAAAACTACTCAATGCGTTCAGAGATTTCCCAGGTCCCCCTGCTCATTGGCTCTATGGCCATATCTACAAGGTAAGGCTATGTCTTTCCTGACAAAAGTCTAACATGCTTGTTTGCTTGTTCTCTCTTTCAGTGTCTCTCTTGCAAACATTTTCTCTCCTTAGGATTTTACTTGGTTTCCCAAGACTCCAATCTGTTGCTCTCCATGGTAGATCACTTTTCTTTCATTTAGAAACCTTGAAATGCAGAAGGCTAGAATGCTCAAAAGCAAAACATACACCCTAACCTTTTTTGCCCTGTGTTGCTAGAGTTAGTGGCCATAAAGATGCCTAACATAGACATCATTTTTCTTTAGCTGTAGGGAGGAAAGCCTTGCCTGCTGGGTGGGGGATCTGGGAGTCGCAAGATCATATATTCTTTTATGCTGTCCCCCTGTCTTGATGAATCGGGGTTGAGGGGGCCTGTACAACCAAAAGATGTGTTGTGTTTAGGTTATGTTAGGTGTTTGGGTGCATGTCTACTATCAGTAAGTGCCACCTGTGCTGCTTGTCATTGACTGGGGGCATTCTTGGTATCCATAGGTTCTGCTTCTATATAATGAACTATGTGTTTCAACCTGTTCAGGAACTATACAGAAAGGGTGGTACAATTAGTATTTTATGAGCAATGTTTGCATTTTGATCTCTTGCTTGTTAAATAGCTTCAAACATAGGACATTATAGTCAGGAGAGAGTGAAGGGGTACACCTCATCCAAAGGGACGGGGATCACAAAATACACTCCAGTGTCATTCAGCATTCCAAAGGAGATTTGAAGACAGTAATCAACCTGAAAATGTTTATTCAAAACTATTTACATCTCCTCTCTGCCACTTTAGTCTCTGTAGCAAAATTACTCCACTGAGTCCTTTCTAGAGGGTATGTAGGGTTACCTCCACCAAAAGCTGCTCCCACACGATCCAACAAAACAGTCAAGTTTTATGAACCATTGGCTTTCTCTCCCAGAGGTCCTTAGGGGGACAATGTTTAAATGATCCCTCATGACACAAATAGTGTAGCTGAGTCAAGATTTGTTCTACCTCTATATCAGGGTCCTTCCTCTTGCTCCTAGATGTACTCTTTGGCTGGGTCTCTGACTTGTTGGGTTCTTTTGAGTCATTCTGGAAGCAGCAAGGAAGTTTGGAGACTACTGAAAGGACTAAACAGCGATTCAAACAAAAGGATACCATGTGCAAAGATAACATCCCTCCGGATAGTGCTCTTGAGGACCTGAGCACATTCAGTTATACCTAAGGGCTTGGTTATAGAAACACAGAAGCCCTCTACACTAATATTCAATACAAGGACAATCAGGAATGCCATTCAGTAGATCACAGGTGGGAATATAGCTGTGTGAAAACAGCCTTTCTACATAGTTCAATTCTGGGATGTGGGGGTGATGTTGGAAGGAGGAGGTGTGCACACCAAAAAGTATGGAGAAATGCTGCTACATGCCCTTCTATTTCTAGGGGAGTTTGAAAAATAAACCCCTCAGAAAATTTCTGAGAAAATGGTCTTTATTAAGACATTTCAGCTGAATTCTTGTCATTCCTCAGCACTTTCCCTAGATCTTCCTAAATGTTACATTTTTGAAACATAACACTGAAGGTACTTAGAAAATACCTTCCCTAAAAGCACTGTAGCAGACAGGAGGATGTTTGGTGTTCATGTCCAAGAAAAAGATAAAGCCATTTTTTTTAAATTAAGCATCCTTCAGTCTTGAGAGACTATGGTTATGTGCTCTGTATGGAGGACTTGGAACAGCATATAGTGTTGTTGAGGAGGCCAATTCGAGAGTGACAATCTCTTCCACACTGAAGACAAATACAATCTGTCCACTGTCCAGCTCCCTGATTTCGCTGGGTTTGGGAGTGCCTCTTTGCCTTGGCCTGATGGACAAGTGTCTCTTCAAAATGGGAGAGGCCATGATGCACCGCCTGCCTTCAGGCTGAATGCTCAGATGTCAAGGTTTCCCATCTGTTGAGTCCATTCCTAAGGCCTTCAGATCCCACTTGCAGATATCCTTGTATCACGGCTGTGGTATCCCTCTGGGGCAATATCCCTGCACTAATTATCCATACAGGAGATCAGTACTGTCCCTGTAACTGGTCTCTCAATTTCACATAAGTTTTATTTCTTCCCTCACAATGGCATTTCCTGACTAAACCTATTCAGGAAATCTTTAAGAAATAGAATTAAAAATCTTTTAAAAAGCTTGAAGAAATCACCAAATCTACCCATATTCATTGTACTTTCAGTTGGAACATCCAAGCCCATACTACAAAAAAGTAGTTGTCTTAATACATGATATTTTAAGCCCATGATTGTGACTATATTGTTCTGTATACTCACAATGCAGTGGGAAAATGGAGGAGAACTACGAAGCGTGGCAAAATGGACTGAAACATTTCCAAGATGTTTTCCTTTGTGGTTTGGAAGATTTGTAGGTGGCTTGCTCATCAACCACCCTGAATATGCCAGAGAAGTCCTCAGCAGAGGGGGTAAGCATTTTGCTTCCTATGCTTGATTGATCCCAGGAAAGTCTACACTCAGATTCTAAACATTTCAAATAGCATCCCCCTCCACAGCATTGGAGCACCATAGCTTTATTCATGAGGGGAGACTCATAGACCTGAAAAAAACTGAAGATTTCCTTTAAACTTGGAAAATAGGTCAGTATCCGGTAAGCCAATCCAGACTCTGTAGCATTCCCAATGAATTCACTGGCATGGTGGTAGGATCAGATATCTCTGTGATCCCACTCTCTGTCAGTCTTCATGCCTAACCTACATGCTTGCCCAGCAAGCTCAGTAACTTGGTACAGACAAATCTTCAGGCCAGAGTCTGATCCCTTCATGACTGAGAGAACATCAAAAAGAGGTCTCTTTATTATGAATGCTCCAAATGGCAACTCTAGCATCTATAATGGATTGGTCTCCATATCCACACTATCAGCAACTAGGAAAATACTTCCAATGCCACCAAACCCCCAGCAAACCTTTGTGCAATAAATTGTTCTGTGGTTGCTACAATGCAGGTAAGGAGCAATCAGCAAAAGACATCCAGTGAGTGAGCTACCCCAGTGGGCGTCGTGTGCATCTGCTCTAGGGAACATGAGCTTTTAGGAGAATTTAAGTAAAAAGTAAACCTGGGGTTGTCTTTTTATCATTGTCACTTCTTCCTACACTGAAACCATGTTTATTTCTTCTTTTCTTTTACACAGATCCTAAACATACCTTAACACATAAATTCTTCCTTCCGTTCATTGGTATGTGTTTTTCATTGCTTGTTTTAAGTAACATCTGTAGAATGGTATGATACTTGCAGCCTCAATTATAATTCTGGAATTAATGTGTTTTATTGGTCAATTTAATCTCTTAATTTTTGCTGGTGGTTTAATTTATAATCTGGTGAGTATCAATGTCATACGTTGATGTTAGCTGCACTGGGCTTTTTGTGAGGCAGAGTGGCATACAAATAAATTATTATTGACTTTTCCAGTGAATTTTTCCTAGCACCACAATAGCTTCCTTTTTTAAAAAACAAAAATCATTACACCACAGTAACTTCGTTCTTTTTTTAACATTAACAACAGGAAACAAAGGCCTATAAAGGCTATGCACATTCTGAGGTAGATAGTGGTCCAAATAAGCTAAATTTAGGTATCTGTAGGTGTTTCTTTGTGGGCTGAAGCACCCTGAATTCTGCCTGGAGAACATTTAAAGCTAGAGTACCTTACCCCAGAAAAATAGAAAAAAATTTACATACACTGCAGCATATAGACACATTTACTCAGTGAATTTGAAAAGCTATTTCAAAGTTCGGCATGTTTTTGACCAGTTGTAACAGACACATAATATTCCAACATGATTTATGGCTACCAAGGACCAAATGTCTATCTATGTATATCTAAAACTTTCTGTCTCTGCTCGAAAAATGGGCCTAACCCATTGTTTCTCACAGCCTCTGTTTCCCATTTCCCCCTCTTCACAGGAAAAGGGTTAATACTTCTGGATGGGACAAAGTGGCAACAGCACCGGAAGCTCCTCACCCCAGGATTTCATAATGAGATTCTCAAGCCTTATGTAACTCTAATAGCTGAATCAGTTAAAGTAATGCTGGTAGGAAATGTCACTTCTGGTATTCTTGGACTTCACTGAGGAGAGTGCCACATTTTTATTGCGTGTGTTAGGTTCTTCCAGGCCACTGCTGTAGTGGAGTCAGAGTTTGTTGGGTCAAAGACCCAGGACCTTTGAGCAGCAGGAAATGTGATGCCACCCACTCCATTCCCTCTGAGCTTAGCTGCGATCCTCACAGAAGCTGGGAGAGAAATGGATTTTTCCAGGAATGGTATGCAGTTGTTGCAAGTATCCCTATTGGAAATGCAAATAATTGTGGGTGCTTTGCTCTTGAATGGGCAGTGAAGAGCCCTTTAACCGTACAAAAGATTGGATCCTCATTTAATAATATGGATCCCGCTGGCTCCATTTTTCAACTCTTCTTTGCAGGGCCCTGGCACCTCCCAAGTTACTATTATGTCACAGACAGACCACCCCTACTTCCATTGTTTACTGCACACAGAATATGTAGCTTACTAGGTTTTCCATCCAGATTTATATTTTTAAAAAATCCCTATCTCTTGTCCTTAAGAAAGCTGCTTACCTTTCCAAAACCTTTAACAAATCTTGAAGAAATATGTAACAAATCCACTTCTTGGCTCTAGCTTTGTTTGTTTCTTTTTATACTGAGTGCTAATTGAAAACATGTTACCAGGAACTCTTCACCAGGAATATCAACTTCAGATGGAAAATGTCATAGAGCTAAATTCTGTCCGTTTATCAAATCAGATACTCCATCAGGAAGAGCCCTTAGTCTGAGTTGTTAGGTTTTTGTTTTGTAAGGTAAATTTCTGAGAGATAGTCATCTGGAAGAGAGCAGGTTGCATAATTAATATCTTGAAATGTGACGAGATTTGGCTAATAATCATGAGAGATCCAGAATGTGAATGCTCATGAATACCCCCTTCCTGCCCATTGCATGATGACCAAGATTGTTTTTTTTTCCTTGGGTGGAGTGATATTTTGGGCAATCTTGGTACTCCTTTATACTTAAGTCCCAGGGCAATCCCCCCCCATAACCCTCCTTAAAAGTAACCAATCTGGGAAGGGAGTGATGGTTTAACTGTAGCCTGCACATTAATCCGTAGACCCAATGCCCATACACCCATGTCAAAAAAAGGACAATGGTAGCAGTTACTGCCACCAGTGTCAGATTTACCCAATCTGGAGAATCCTAGACCATCACGGTAGCTCTTGCAACTATTGGGTTTCCTTGCATGCCATTTCCTTGGCGTCAACTTATCAAGGGACTAGGCACAATGACTGATTTGACTGGCTGATGTAGCTTCAGGGGTTAATTTCTTGGCCAAAAATTCTTCTGACAGTGATGCCTTCTAGAGTCCTCTGTGAGCTGCATTTATAGAGCTGCAGAGACATTTATAGGGAAGGATAAAGAGATTGATGGAGAGCCTCAGTCATCCCTCTGGCCTCCATCCACCGAGAGCAATCAGACATTTTTACTCTTGACTGTACATATCTGACTAAGGCTCTCATAAATTAAGAGCCCCTGAACTCAATGAGATTTATTAAAACATGATTTGATTATCCAAAGCTGATAATTCAAACTAGATGATCTGCGATTTTACATTTCTGCCTTTACATCATTAAAGGATAAATGGGAAAAAGGGGTCTCAGAAGATCCAGAAGCATCAGTGGAAATATATAAGGATGTTTGCCTGATGACGCTTGACAGCAACATGAAATGTGCCTTCAGTTTCCACAGCAACTGCCAGATGGACAGGTTGGTAAAGACTATTGTCGTGTTCCAGTGAGATAACTTTTTAATTTTTTTTTTTTTGATAAGTTGAAGTAGCACAGTATATTCAAAACAACCCTTAGTTTTGTTTATATTTCTCTTCTCTGGTGACCCATTATTATGACTCATGAGCTAAGTTTGATGTCCTTGTGGCCAGAATCTGATCTCTTGTATTCTTCCTAAAATAGATTCCTGATGTTATAGTATAACAATCCTTGGGAATTCAGAGTGTGAAGTGTACAAGTTTCATTGTCTTAGAGCTCACACCAGCAAGAACATTTGCAACTTATGACACCAATTACCAGGAGCAGGATCAAGCTTACAGGAAGCATTGGATTTCACCTAAGGTTCCCTTCTTTTCTGATGTGTTAGAATTCTACAAGTCTCTTCCATTGTCCAACAGAATGCTACCACTTCACTAGTGTAAATCCATAATGACAGTAATCATCACAAGATGCTATCCTTATACTCGCTGCTTGAACTGCAACCATTTTCCTTCTCATATGGGAGCAAAACAGGGAATTGCCCAGGGCTGTTTGTTGTTTCTCTACATCATCCTCATGTGAGGTAGGTTAAACAGATCCACTTCCATTTGACAATAGCAAAAGAAACCATTTGTTCTGTTTCCAGGACAAGAAAAAGAACAGAAAGCCAGGAAGGGAAACAATCAACAATGACTCTCTATGACTTATTATATACCATGAAGTCATATCTGACTTACAGTGAACCTAATCAGGCTTTCAAGGTACAAAAGTTATTTAAGAAGTGGTTCTACCTGTACCACTCCCAGTGAGTTTCCATGCCTGGTTAGGGATTCAAACCCAAACCTTCTGAGTCCTAGTTCAGCAATCTATGCACTTTCTTTTCCTTCTTTATTTGTATCAGAGTATTGCACAATTTAAAATTATGGACTTACATACAATGTTATGATAAATAGACTATTTTTGGCAAGAAACAGCCTGCTTCAATAGCATTATCTTGGCCATTTGCTAGATCTACTTTTCTATATGTGTTGGGGCATAAATTGCATGCACAAATGCATTGATTGAATTTCGCCACAGTCACAGAAATCTGGCCTGTATCCAAGTCGCTGCATTTTACTTCATCCGTTTTTGACTTTCCTACTTTTCCTTGAAGTCTATAAAATGACTTTCCTGCTTTTCCTTGAAGTCTATAAAATGACTTCCAGATGGTTGAGTTAGAATCTCATCCTGGTGGGAGACAGTTTTCAGCATCCATCCATTTGGCAAGGTGCATTATTTTTGTTCTCCATAGGTTTAGCCTAGACTCTTCTAGTTTGATATTTAGAGTTTGAGATGTGTGCAGAAAAAATTTCCTCAATTTCAGGCATTGCCAAGCACAGTATTTGGATAATCCAGGTGTTCTTGAACTGCAACTCCCAGAAGCCTTCACTACTATCTCTTCTGGGCAGGGTTTCTGGGAGTTGCAGTCCAAGTACATCTGGATTACCCAAGATTGGGAACCACTGGTCTAGCGAGTTGGTATCACATAAAGATGACACCCTTGTTTTCTGAAAACCAAATGTCAGGGATTCCATGGAGGTCATAACTGTGTTGGAAATGACATTTTGCACAATTGAAAACTTAGTTGTGACTTACTTCACAACTAGGGTATAATCTTCTGTGTTATGAGCACTCTGCCAAAGGGACAAAAACACTTGCATGATCACCATTCAGCACATTTCCCCCCAACTCTTCAGACCACAGAGCTCCATCTGTGTGATATCAATGTTTTCTACTTTTTGCAATTGTAGGGTACATATATCTCACAAACAATACAAAGAAGTTGCACACACTCTGAAATTACAATAAAAAAGCCTTTAATCAGCAGCAATTTGCCCTTGCTAATGACATCAGCAAACTAATGGACCACAGCAAACTATGGCAAGTTCTTAAAGAAATGGGAGTGCCTGACCACCTTATCTGTCTCCTGAGAAACCTATATGTGGGACAGGAAGCAACAGTTAGAACTGGTCATGGAACAACTGATTGGTTCAAAATTGGGAAAGGAGTACGACAAGGCTGTATATTGTCCCCCAGCTTATTTAACTTATATGCAGAATACATCATGCGGAAGGCTGGACTGGAAGAAACCCAAGCCGGAATTAAGATTGCCGGAAGAAATATCAACAACCTCCGATATGCAGATGATACCACTCTGATGGCAGAAAGTGAGGAGGAATTAAAGAACCTTGTAATGAGAGTGAAAGAGGAGAGTGCAAAAAACGGTCTGAAACTCAACATCAAAAAAACTAAGATCATGGCCACTGGCCCCATCACCTCCTGGGAAATAGAAGGGGAAGACATGGAGG